GTCAGTTTTGTTTGAGCTATTGAAGCGCTCGATGGCAATTTCCCATTGGCTATTGAGACGTGTTTGTATATTCTTAATAAGATCACTGTCCACTTTTCGTTGTCTCAGCTTGCTCTTCTGTCGATATTTGCACAACTAAAAACATACAGACAGTTTGGCACAAGGCTAAACGAGTGGAAAGCTTTGAAGACTGAGATCACTGCAAGAATGATCTGTAAGATTAACTCGCTAAAGAGCGCTTAAGGTAGGTTCATGGAATAGTGATATTTTCTAAACATAATTTAACCTGGCACAAGATTACACTAGTATTTAATGTGGATCAATGTCAAAAGTATATAATCTATATAGTAAATCCGAATGTTAGTGTGTCACACGTTTTCAACTTTTCTCCTAGAGACCGTAGCCCTACATATTCTACCATTTTGGAATCAGGCCGACTTCGTTAGCAAATTAAAAACATTTCGCACCGGATCCAGACCCCACAATCCCGACATTTTGGATTCCCAACTTTTCATTATTGCGATTGTTTCCGTCGATTTTTTTTACGTGATTTTTTGCGACGAATTTTTTTGTACGATAACAATTTTTATGACTTAGAAATAAATTTGGAAATAATCGAAATTAATTGCGAAATCCAGCGAAAGTCAACCATGAAATAAAAAAAAAATAAAAAAAATGTTTCGACGGAACGTAAGGGAAAACGTACATAAAATTAAGTAGCGACAGAAGAATTATCGTTAAACTTTTAAAAGGTACAGTATTTACATTAGTCGGACTATTGTCCTCATCTTTGTCGCCATATTTGTCACAACGTTTCGGCCGTTGTACCCTCCGGCCTTCTTCAGGTGGTTGGAATTTCGAACTGAACCCTTTATTTCGATCACTGGGGTAGACTGTTCTAGTTCCACGTGCCATGTGCCGAAACGTTGTGACAAATATGGCGACAAAGATGAGGACAATAGTCCGACTAATGTAAATACTGTACATAATACCTCATCTCAGAAATATAGACAGACTTTTAAAAGGTAAGCTTAAATATTAATGCAATACTTACATGCAGCGATCAGTTCTGAGTTCTTCTGTAGTTTATTGTTGTCTATCGCAATCTACCTCCATATTGTGATGAAGGCCAAATCCGCAGGAGCTAACTTAAATGCCGCCCGACAGGGTAACTTTTAAGCTCGTAAAATAATAAATGAGAATTAGGTAAAGTTATAACTTGACATATGTTTAGTGTGTTCCAAAATGTTCTAGATTTGACCTAGAAGTTTTTTCACAATATTGTTAACCCAATTAAGTCTCAAGAGTCTCTAACGTTAGAGAGTTACCGAATAAGGTAGTTTTATGGATGTAAGAGGAAGAGGTAAGCAGCGTATATTATGAGTATAGGTAGGATAGGTAAATGTTGACTCAAGATGTGAATATGTGAAAATTGTAGTGATACGGGAAACATCCTCTCGGAAGTCCGCTCCAAAAAGCGGTGGCTCATGGGAAGCATCCGCCCGAATGGGCCTTCCTTCTTATCAGTGGAATATCAGCGATGACCCTGTATACATGACACGGCGAGTCTTATCTTAAATATCAGAACTGGCGGAACTTAGTAATGTAACTAGTTATAACATTTTCCATGGCGATAGCGATAGAGTAGCGAAACGTTTGGTCTGTAGGAAAGGAGTTAGGGTAGAAAATAATTCATCGGCCATATCTGGGTTTTAGCTGCTTAGTCCACATGCTCCAGCCTTGTCAGAATCCAAAAACGTCTAGCCGATGGCTGCAATAGTACATATTTGGTCGGAACTGATGCTAGCAATGGCAGAAAATAGCCGGTAAAGACAGGCATATTTTGGAGCGATTTAAGGAACTGATCATTTTGCAGTGCCTTGAACTATTTGTTATTTATTTGTTCCAATGGAATCGATTTTTAAAATAAATTTTAATTTCTGGTTATTTAATTAGACTTTTGAAAGTGAAATCAACTGGCAAATCTTTCAGCGTCTCCCAGAATCTATCTTATTTATAAGTTTACCATTCGTCCTAGCTTTGAATATTGCTGCCACATTTGGCCTGGTGTTTCTGATATATATTTAGAAATTCTTGATAAAATCCAAAAATAATCTGCAATATTATTGGACCTGAACTGGCATCTCACCTTCAGTCACTATTCCACGGCCATAATGTCGCTTCCTTGTGCCTATTTTTTTTTAAAATAAATAATTTCATGATAATTGTTCGGATGAACTCTTTGCAATGGTGCCTAGAGTCTTTGAACTAGACTGGCGATGACCAGGCTTGATGTAACCGTAAATTCTATGCCAACAGTTTCTTTTCTCGCACTTCTCACTTGTGGAACTCCCTTTCAGCTCCATGCTTTCCAGCTAACTTTAAGCTGAAAAACTTTAAATCCAAAGCCAATCGCTATCTATAATCTCCCTGATTACTCTACTTTTGTTCTTGCTCCTCGATGTTTCTGTTTCTAACTCTTCCACGACCAGTAATTCCTTGTGCCTCAGTAGCTTTATTGCCTTGCTTGGGACGAAATCGATTAAAAAACGTTTAACGTACAAGAACCCTTGTTTCAACGCGATACGGCCGTAAGCCGATTGCAGGTTACGCTTAGATTCAGGGAATAGAGGGCGACGAATAACTGAGCAATACTAATGCAGAAATAGACGATTTACCCCTAGACGATCAGCGGCTGGGGATCAATCTACTCTCGTAGATTAAATAAAATCGGAGGACATAACATTTGAAATGGGATAATAACAACAAAGATATAGATAATAGTCCGAGTGGAAATAATGTAAATAAGTATAACTTCTCATCGCAGAAAACTTATTCTAATTAAATGTCTGTCGAGAATTTGTTATAGTGAACATATTGTCATATCAGGGCACATGTCGAGTACGTTTCAGAAAACAAGAGATGACTTAAGTATAATCGTCGAGTATAAGGAATCAAATAATTTTCTCTTTAGTAGTTAAGATTTGCGGTTAATGTTTTTTTTTAATATCTATTTCCGTTTTATTAGATGCGTATCAATAAATTCTATTTTTGTTATTCTATTCTATCGCTTTATTAAAGCCGCTGAAAAATGCATTTGTAACTTAATTAGATTTTTGTTATTTTCCTCCACGCTATCATATTTTATCATGGAAGTCACTGCCTTCTAAATATTTTCTCACCGATGCCATTAAACTTTTCACAATATATTCATATGAGCAGTATTTCGAGTAAACCTTACTTTGCAATATCGCATCATCAACATCAGTTCCATGGTCAGTTGTGGACGCAGCACATCTGAGCACATGACCAGTTCCCTTCGCATATTCGGCTTGAAAAGTATTCATTCATCCAGAAGAAGAAGTAGACCTGGCCGAGCCCCAAAATCCTCAATTCAGACCACAGCAAATCTATTCCAACTTAAAAGCTCGCCTTGGCAGTGGCGTAGCTAAGGAGGTGCGATGGGGGCGGACCTCCTCGGGTGCCACAGAAGGGGTGACACAATGTCACTCCCAACAAAATTTTTCAACCAGGCTAAGGTGCCAAAACAGCGATGGAGACACAGGGTTTCGCAGGCGGGCATATGACCCCCCGAAATAATTTATGACCCCCCCCCCAGTTTTGTCCCCCCGTCAGAAATTTTCTAATAAATTGTTGGGAAATTTGTGAGTAGGAAAAATAGCAATGTTTTCAGCTTTCATGTGTTTCAGTTGCTACAATCTTGGTTACTAATAAGAGACATTGTTGTAACATTTTATCGGATGATATGGTGGTTTAACTCTGCATCATTTATAACAACAAAGCGAAATACGAAGCCAAAAGTGCAACAATTTCAGTCTTGCCTGTGTATCAATTCACTGAGATACAATTTTCCATTGAGTGAGCGATATACTTTTGAATATATCTACTAGTGTTGGGACGATTAATCGGAATCGGAATCGAGAATCGGAAAAATCGGAACTTTTTGGGGTATCGGAAAAATATGTGCCTATTTTCCGATTCCAAAAACGATTCTTTTAAATTTTTAACTTAATTTTCTATTATTGGTACTAATGTTAAATATTTATTGTTTTTAAATTATCACTAAAACTAAAGTCATAATAACATCAAAATAGGATGTAAATTTATTTTACTTGTATAAAGAAAAACATAAAAAAATAATCGTTGCATAAATTCTCCAGGTAACCTTTAAAAGAATGCAGTTGATTTACAATGTTCCGAAAAATGCTTAAAAATTAAATAGAACATTTTTGTCAAGAAAAGTACTTTCAAACATCATTGATAATTAAATGGTGCCCAGAAAATGATGCAACGGAAAATTGGAGACCGGAAAATTAGCAACAGAAAATTACGTCAACCATGAGCCAGTCGAGACTGTCGGATCTGGCTGTGCTGTCCATTGAAAACGAGCTTACATGACAAACAGATTTTAACGATGTCATTGACCAGTTTTCCACAATGAAAACAAGAAAACATTCATTCTAAGACCATAGTATCGAATGTCATTCTTTTGTGTATTGCCGTGTTTTGTATTTAGTTGTTCTGAAAGTGAACAGTTGCATTTTAAAAATCTTTTGATTTGAACTGATTATTTTGTGGTATTGGATTTTGTCTTGGATCATACATGTAAACAGTAACGTATCGGTCAGTAGAGTAAAGTAGAGGTAGAGCATGTATTAAAATTTAGCTACAGCTAACCATTCAGCATAGGGTGAATCGGGGTCATTGGGGTGACATTTGAGCGGACCGCCCCGGGTGACGTTTACTCTAGCTACGCCACTGCGCCTTGGTCCCGGACATATGGATATTGATTCCATCAAAGTAACTCCCATCCCTGATCGTTGGTTTTAGTCTAGGAACTCCTCTGCCTAGGGATGTTGTGTTATCACCTAACTGAAAGTGGTTCAGTCTTTCTTATCAAATCGTGAAATGAATCTTGTCCTGAATGGCCGCTCTTCTAGATCTTCCTGCAGGACTCTATCTTTGGACCTACGCTGTTC